TACTCTGATTTTTTAGTATTGAAATATTACCAAATAAAATATGAATATTTTAATAAGTAAAAAGGAAGATTTGAACTATAAAAGCAGGATACGCGTATACTGTAGTTACCACAGGATCTGCCAGAGCTTTGTAAGCTAGATTATTAACATATAGGTAACAGTCTTCAACAGAAATCTTTTAGATAGGGAAACTACATATGCACTTGATCATGTGCAAAACATCAAATCACATATTTTTCAACTACCTGCAAATCTAGAGTCAGAAGTTTAATAATATTTCTTCAGAAACTCATCAATAAACATTGTAAGATCTGTTAACCAGTACCTCAGACTACAATCCTAGACTGAATTACTTGAAACTAAGTTCCATTTAACTACCTATAGGATTGTACTGCTAATTCTTTAAAACTCAAAAAATACAATATACTTGATCAGCTAATGTACTCTGGCAAATGCAACTAAGAGAGAAGCAATTTAAAACATCAAGATATTCTTCTTTAATTATATGTTAAATGTTGATATTTCCCAATTTTTTAAATCCCAATATTCAAATAGCCTTTATCTGTTTTATACTCAAAATTATCTCTATCACATCAAATGTATTGTATCACATCAAATGTATTAATGAAGAGAAGGACGAGGGGGGACATGATAGCAGTGTTCCAATATCTCAGGGGCTGCCACAAAGAAGAGGGAGTCAAGCTATTTTCCAAGGCGCCTGAAGGCAGGACAAGAAGCAACGGATGGAAACTAATCAAGGAGAGAAGCAACCTAGAACTAAGGAGAAACTTCCTGACAGTTAGAACAATTAACCAGTAGAACAACCTGCCTCCGGAAGTGGTGAATGCTCCAACACTGGAAGTCTTTAAGAAGAGACTGGACAGCCATTTGTCTGAAATGGTATAGGGTTTCCTGCCTGAGCAGGGGGTTGGACTAGATGACCTCCAAGGTCCCTTCCAACTTTATTGTTGTTGTTGTTGTTGTTGTTGTAGAACACCCTAAGCAAGTCAGAACGCCTGAGAATCTGGAGAACATGTACTGTTTCCAACTTATATTTACAAAATTTGAGCCACATAAAAAAATTGTATATAAACCACCTAGTACAAGTGCCAAATGCATATACAGTACACATAATTGTACTGACATAGCAATCTATGTATTGGAAATCATAGTTATTAGATACTAAACTGCCTTAAATCCTTTTTAAAAAAAGAAAAAATACAATAGGAATTTTAGAAAATATTGTGAGGAATTTATCAAAATATCACAGAATCCTGCTTTAACAAGCTGTGGTGTGAATAAGTCCATACTCTTTGCTCATTATCTGCAAACAGAAAAATGAAACAAAAAAGAGCTTCATATGCCAAACAAACCAAGTCATGTTGGTTTTGTTTGTAATATTTAAATATTCAATATTCAATAGTTGAATGTCAATATAACAGAGGAATGCACAGAGAAATACATTTATGTTGTTTCATTAAGCAAACCTCTTACTGATTAGATTCACAACCTGCAATACACATGGTTAAAACAAATCATAGAGTACCATGGTATGTGAGCTAGTTAATATATTCAAGTTTCATTAAAAAAAATAAAAATATGTATCTGAACCGTTCAAATAAAGTCAGTTATAGTAACTACATCTTCGTACCCTACTGCAGGGGAAACAACTATTTGGTGTCCCAATGTTACATTAACATTTAGAGGGACACTGACACTGAGAGCCATATTACAAATGGGTACAAATGAAAGTAGTAGTTTTTAATTCAGCAACATTATATTATGCAACACACTTTTTAGGTTGGACCACTTATCACACTAAGTTATGATTTCTTTAACTTTGCTTTGTCAAATTAATCACAACTGGCTAGATTCAAGCAACATACAAAGAAAAAGTATAGTTTACACATAACAGCAGTCCTTCTCTGTTTTGGCACCCGTGTTGTGGAATCTTCTCACCCTGGAGTGATAATGGTCCCATCTCTTCTGAAGATCTCCAAAGATGGTTATGTTAGCAGATCTGGGACACCAGGGGACTGACTGATAAACTAGTGAAGTGGTTCTATTATTATTAAGGTGTCTTTATTATTAATGCTTTAGCTCTGTTCTTATAGTTTTTAAATGTTTTTTAATTATTTAATGATAAAGGTTTTAGATATTTATTGTTTTGTTGTAGACTGACCAGTCTCGTTCGTGAGATGGGAGGTTGTATAAATTAGATAAATAAATAACACAGAAAACCAAAAACAAAGCAATCTACTATACATTATGTCTTAGCACGAGCCTGTATTTAACAAAAAACTTAATGATTTGAGTGTTCTATCAGTATTAACACAAAACGTTTAAAATACTAATCAATCTTTGTACAGTACTAAACCATTCCTCATATTTCCAACAGACTAATTTTATAAAATGTAGCACACAGTAACAGACAATACATTGCACTCAAGTATCACAGTAAGCAGAAAGATAATAAATTCTGACTATAGATTCCTCAAGGTAAGACTTGGTGGAAAAAACCATGTACTCAATCTACAGAAAAGCCTCAAAGAAAAATCTATGTTTACAGTATAAAAATTTTAAAATATAAGAACAGCTTAATCAATAGTTGACATTCACTAATAATTTTCTGCAATGTTAGGTTGATAGTTTTTCATGTGTTGTTTAAAATTATGAGCTTTACATGTTTTTAAATTCTTATTTAATTATATCTTCATCCATGTAAACAGTAATTCTAATTACAGATATGTAAGAAATATAAATATTGCTGAACTGCCATTGAAGCTATACAATTAAGAAAGATTGGTTAGATTTCCATCCTGGCTTTATTTTGTTCCAACTCAAGGCAGAATATACAATCCTCCTTTCCATTTTCCTCACAACTATGTGAGATGAATTGATTTGAGAAACAGTGCTCAAAGTCACCCAGCCAGGTTCCATGCCTAAGGCAGGATTGGACTCACATTTTCTCATTTTCTTGTCTAGTACATTAACAGCTACACTAAACTGCTTTTAAACTATTAGAAGTCTAAGAAAGGGTGCTTAACTGTTTAGTTCAGATACTGAAAACCCTTACATCTTACAGCTGAAAAATAGTAACCACAGAGCCTCTGTACCTGTCCTAAAAATAGATTTTCTCAAGCTGTATGTTCACAGATTAAAAAGTAGATTCCAAATGATCAACCATCATTCCCGTTTTCCACTACATAACCAGAACTGAACAAAGTTTAAAAAACTGGTGTTGTGATTTTTAATCAGAGTTTTTCAGTTTGACATTATGGGGAAACCCTGTTTGTGGTTTAGCTATTGGGGGGAGGGGAGACTTTGAGCAACTAAAGAAGAGATGACTACATTCCTTACAAATGCTTTGCTAAATATTTACAAACCATAAAGCAATTCATATTTATTATTATTTACACCACACACTTCCTGGAAATTAAACAATAAAACAAAGATAGGGATACTACAAATTGCTGTTAAGAATACAGCAAGCTCCTACAGGCACTTCAGAATTCTACAGTTTACATTTACAGGGTACAAGGTTTTGTGAACTGCAATTCACTTCTTCATTTGTAACAATAGTGTCTTCCCCCAAAAGCAAAAAATAAAAAAAAATGTTCACAGCATTAAAGTAATCAGTTGTCTAGGATATTTTGACTCTTTGAAAACTTTCCAAGAGTTTAAGAGGCAAAAACTAACAAGAACACTACATGACACATCTAATTTTAATTTTAAAAGGCACCTTATTATTTAAAAAGCAGGGAAAGAGTGGATAAAGCTTGTATAAAATACAGTAATACATTCAGTTGTCCATAGAACAACTGCAATGTAGAGAGTAAATTTCTGTTATATACAGGGTTTTAACCTTTACTTACCTGCCACATAAGAAAATGATTACATCACGTTTTAACCTGAGTGGATGCCCTGAACAATCTATCTCACCAAAACTTAACTCCTATTCCCTAAAATGTGACAAGTCTGATCACGTCCCTATATGCAACAACAATGCAAACAAAGGATCGCTTTGCATTTTGCAGCAAGCAAGAAAATATATTAAATTTGGCCATTTTAGCGTACTCCAGTATCAGTTTATCACCGAGGAGCTGCAGTGCTTATTGCAGAACGAATGCTTTAAAACCAAAACAAGACCTTCAACACCTCGTCCCGAATAAAAAACCGAAACCGATCAACTAGAAGTTGTCCTGCAAACATCGCTGGGCCGGAAAGAGATTTTTTACAGCTGTCCGACGAAGTTCTTGAGGCAACAGGGTCTATGGGCAACGAGTTAGGGGCCTTCTTCACCGGGAAAGCAGGCCCTGAAAGTAATAGTCCACCAACGAGTCAACTCTCTCTCTCTCTCTCTCTCTCTCTCACTCACTCACACCACACTTATAAGGAGGAGTAGATTCTGCGCTATCTGTTCCTTACCCCGAGTTTCAGGCATCAGGGGGAACGCGATGCTCCGACGCGGACCCCGCACGGCGCTCGCACCCCGGAGGCATAAAGGGCAAGGCGAGATACAAGTAGGCCGAGCGCTGCTTCCGCAAGCGATGCAGACGAGGGGAGGCTTGTGGCGGGAAACGCAGCTGGGGGGGCCGGAGAAGGAGCTAAAGCAGGACCAGAGCCCCAAAGCGCGCGGCTCCCCTGTCCTGCCTCCCGCGGCGGGGCCTCCCCCTTGCTCCGAGCGCCGAGGAAGGAAAGGCGGGAGGACGCAAGCGGGCTGGGCCTCGGGGATCCTGCACTCCCGAGCTAAGCGTCGCGCCACCGCCGCGACGTGTTCCTCCCCCTCCTATTTCCCTCACACATCTCCCCCCCCTCGCTCCCTCACAGAGACAAAAGCAAACGGAAACCGAGGGGATGAGACAGACCGCAAGGAGCCCAAACCGCACCGGACCCAACCGAAGCCCTTCCCCGACCGACCGCGGATTCCCGGGCAGATTCGTAGTTGGGCCGCAGCAGAGGAGGTGGTAGCGGGGGAAGAATAATAGGGCCGAACTCACCGCATGAATTTTCTTGTCCCGAGGATCCAAGATGGCTGAGCACCCCGCACGGAGGATGCTGGGGGAGCGACCTTTACCCTCTGACCCCACCACTGCCGTCGTGACCCCGCTGCCGCCCGGCAGCGGCTGCGGGACAAGCGGGAAGGCAGATGCGGTAGGCTGGCCTAAGAACTGCTTCCCCGACCGAAGACTCTCTCCCGTCGGGGCTCCTGTGGGAAACGAGGCCTCCTGTGTGCCTGTTTCGCGCGCGGCAGGATTCGGGTCTCGTTCTCGCCGAGCTTTGTCCTGCCGGAGCGGCTGAAATCGGCAATGGAGCCGCCACCGCCGGGATCTCGGGGCCCAACTTCCGAGAGAGCGGCCTTGCATGAACCGCGAACTGATTCTGAGACATCCGGGGAAAGGGGGAGGGGGACTTTTTTTACACGGTGGAAGGAGGAAGCTGCTGCACTTAACGCGCACACGCTCATTCGGGCCGTTTGGAAAGCATAGACTCGGTGGCCGTAGTTTTGCACCATGTTTACAGTTGAAGTTGGGGAGAACTCTCCTTTCCCCCCACCGCCAAGCTGTAATATTTTGCAGTTCCTATTCCGCAATCACTTGGGGATGTTTTCCAAAGTGACATTTCTGAACATGTAAATAACGATCCTGGACTCCCTACAGGTGTATTTCAAGAGGCGTATTGGCTGCTTCCTCGTTTTTGTTGTGCATGTAAGACTTTTGTGTAAGAATGTGACCACATTGTGCAATCCTCAGAATAACAGTTTGTTAATCGAAGGATGTGTATTTTCTATTTCTATTCAATACAGGAGGGATAGATTTATTTTCCAACTAAAAATACAGCAAGTCTTGTAATACAGGGGTCCCCAACCTCCGGTCCCTGGACCAATACTGGGCTGCAGCATGCCAGCAACTGGTCCACACAAACAAACAAAGCCCCATCTGTGGGATGCAGGCAGCACACAAAACCACGCACAATCCGGTCCATGGAAAAAACCTTTCTCCATAGAACCAGTCCCTGGTGCCCAAAAGGTTGGGGACCTCTGCAGTAATATGCTTTCAGCATTGATTAAAATAGAAGAATCTCAAAGCTAAGTCACTGTTGGGATAAGTTCCCTGTGCCAGTCTATTTTTCACCTCTCACACCTTTGGTATTTGTTGTGAGAATAACAAGGACAGGAGTATTAAATATAACATCCTGAATTTGGAAAACCTTCAGTAAATAATAAAATTCTAAAATTGGATATGGTTCCCTCACACAGGACATCAGATACAACACTATATACTCTAGGAGTTGTATTTAAACTAAGGTCTTAGGACCCATGTATGTGGTGATAACATTTTAGTTCCACATAACTGCTAATACTAAAAGCAAGTAATTTAATTTTTTTATTATATCAGGTATCTCTATCACATTCTTCAGTTCATAAGCTGATATGTTTAAATCTGGGTTTCTTTCCCAATGAAAATAAAAATAGTGCACAAATCTACAACTGCAGCATCTCTTGTACAGGTAATCCTTGACTTACGATAGTTCTTTTAGTGAATGTTCAAAGTTACAACAGCAGTGAAAAATGTGACATGATCATTTTTCAGAGTTACAATCTTTGTAGCATCTCCAGAATCATGTGATCAAAATTCAGATGCTTGGCAACTGGTTTATATTTATGACCTTTGCTGTGTCCCAGGGTCATGTGATCCCCTTTTACAACTTTCTGACAAGCAAAGTCAATGAAGCCAGATTCACTTAACAACCAGGTTACTAACTTATCAACTGCAGTCATTCACTTAACAACTGTGGCAAGAAAAGTCGTTAAATGGGGCAAAACCCATTTAACAAATGTCTCACTTAACAACATAAATGTGTTTGGAATTGCAGATTTTAACTGCTTGAATTTTATTTGTGTTACCCATACCAAAATCTTTGCATCAAATTAAAGTCAATATTTTTTATAGAGGAAAATCCTTTCAAGTCCCATGTAAGCATTCAGCTTTTAATATGTGTACAAAAGATAATCAGCTGCCAAAACCACATTCAAACTTAATTCCCAATGATTTCCTAGTGGTGTTTCATCCAAGTATTACTGGGTCTAATGTTGCTTTTGAGATCAGCTAAAAGTATTGCCACACCCTATGTAGAAAATGTGTAGAACTAGAAATAGCATTAATTGACAATTATGTTGGGAAATTCCCTTACTGAATTTACTTTTTATGGAATTATAACTTGTTCTACTTGAATAAGGAATCACAAACCTTTTTTTAGTAGACAGTTGTGAAGCACTACCTAACAATTGGCAATAAAGACAACAGCACTTAATTGACCATGGCTCAATCTCCAAAAGCTGAACAATATATGGGTGAGAAATCACCAGGAAATAAGATTGTAGGCTAGACATGTTGAAAAAATATTATACATGACATTGACAAGCCATTTCTGTGCTACTCACAAAGAAACTATGTAGACTTGTCCATGTTGCTTCCAAAAACTGAACTGAACTTGAGTCTTAATTCCTGTTTTCTTGCTTGATCATCCAGTTCTTTATAACTCTTTGCATACAGTGAGCTAGTGCAACATTGGAAGATGTGGAGAGACCCAGTCCATGGAATTGCCAAGAGAGATACAACTGAAGAATAACATCATCCTACAGTTAGCAGCAATTTTTCAGGTTTGTCATTATCTGCTTTTCTGAGTATTTGTGAGCTCATGCTCATGATATTAATGATAATGTCTAGCCATCTTTTCATTTGCTGGCTTCTTTCTAAATTTCCTTTAATTTTTCCAAATATCACAGTCTACTCCAAAAATTCTTGCTTCTGTGTTATGAATAAAAAAAACCCCTTAGCTTCACTATCAGGTTATATATGTATGCAACAAAATTTCATTTTAATGTATGCCGATTAGTGTACATTCAAAGTGACAATAAAGTTATTATTCTATTCTATTCTATTCTATTCTATTCTATTCTATTCTATTCTATTCTATTATATTATATTATATTATATTATATTTTCTAATCTAATCATTCTAATGAATGATTTATTCATCATGCTATTGAGCAAAAATCCTCTCAGAAGTTTTCTCCAGCACCACTGTACAAAGGCATCAATTTGTAATTTTTTCAGATTTCAGGTTTATAACTGGAAGGACCATATCTTTAGAAATCATTGCTGTCAGTATGTTTTTTGAGTAGATTTCTAATGGTCTTTCTCTCCAAAAAGCAGATGTCACTCTGTTTCATGGTTACAGTCTCTATTGCAGCAATTTTTGAGCCTAGGAAGATAAAGTCATCTCTTCCTTCCATTACTTCTTCATGTATTTGCCCTGGACTGGTAATAATAGCTAACTTTGTTTGCCTTCAAGTCAACCTTAAAAACTGCCTGGACACATTCCTTCAGTTTTCTTGGCATCATTTTGGGAACTAGTTTGATGTTTCAGGTCTGAGAGAGAATGATTGACCCAGTCACCCACCTAGATTTCTGCCTAAGGCAGGACTAGAACTCATGGTCTCTGAGTTTAACCATTACATCAACTGACTCTCAACAGCTGGCATGACCCTATTTAAAAAAAATATTGAGCTTAAGAGCATCTTTTGTAACTTTGACCTTCAATAAGACATTACTTCAACACAGTTCATCACAATCTTGAATTATTGTTCCATGTTCTATTCTGTTGCTTCCTAATCAACATACATATAGATGAAGTGCTGTAGTTTGATAATATCTGTTTTAAAGAATAATTTACAATACATTATAGACTGCAACACCTGCAATTTAAATTTTTAGTATAATCAATACAGCAAAAATAAATATATTTTAAATATTCTTTTACCTTTTTAACATTTACTATTTTTACCATTACCCTGTGGAAATTTGCAATATGATCATGGGTACCTCTGCTTTCTCTGAAATCTTTTACTACTAATAGTTCTTATTCCATATATTGTTTATATATGTGCAATTATTTAGTAGTTGAGCATTCTTTAGAAGTGCCTTTGACTCTTGAATTATATAAATTAGTCTGTTCCAGTAGTTTGGTCAACACTGTTTTCCATAACTGCTTACAACTATAAGTAGTGCTTCAAAACACTTCTACCAGTATTTTAGCAACTCCTATAAGGAGTTTTTGTTAGCAATATTTTCTAGAGTGATTTAATTTACTTTTCAAAATGCCTGGTTCTAGATTTGAGCTCCAGAATTCCCTCAAGCCACAACTGGATATGTATCTATGATACATCTATTCACTTCATATGCTAAAACTTGTATTAATTCTAAATACAAGTCTTTATTGGTAGTGTTTTTTTTTCTGACCCATAAGTTTTAGACTAAATTTTGTTATCTCAGACCTTCACTTCAAGTCTTTCTTGAAATGTCCCATTTCTCCATGCTTGAAGCATTGGAGGGCTGGTTTGTCAGGAAGTTAGTCCCTGGTTGTAGATTGGGTAGAATCATAGAATCATACAATGTAAACCTGAATAAGTCCACCATGCAATGTGCAATAGAACCAATTAAAAGTCCTATGAGAGGTGATTGTTCAGACTTTTAAAATTCTCCAGAGATGGAATCCCCACCTGCCTATCTACTTTGTACAGGTGTCATTTTCTTTAAACAAATCTAGTATAACTTATATCTCTTATTTTTGGTCCCAGTTTCTATGGCTATGGGAAATAAGTAGTTCTTGACAATCTTTCTTGTAATTTCCTTTATGTGCTTGAACATGACTGTTGTATATCACAAGTTGTCCTTTCTCTACACTAAGAATTTTTCAGCTTATTGTCACAAGGTACGTTCTGAAGTCCTTGTATCAGTTTTGCTGCCCTGTTTTTAANCCTGTCAATATCTTCCTTGAAAACTGGTACGTGGAATCTACAGTGTTCTCCATTGTCGAATATAGAGGAATATTAACTTTGTATTTTTCTGATACCGTGCTTCTTTTAATGTAGCTAGATTTATGTTAACCATTAACAATTCTGGCAGCTGTCTCGTACATCTTGTTGTCAATGACCACACCACATCTTTTTTTTTCAGGCCACTAATCCTTCTTATGGCAGTCATAGTATGGATCCCACTTGATAAAAAATGTCCACAAAAGAGACCTAAAACAAGATGGATGGACGACATCAGCAAGTATTGCGGGCCCAATTGGTAAAAGAAAACTCGAGACCATATTATTTGGAAACATATGGAAGAGACCTTCATCCTTCAGTGGATAGACAATGGCTAAAATTATGATGATGATGAATCCCTCTTATATACATGTCCTTCATTTTTTTCTCACTGATATTTTCCCTT